ATGACAAAAGAGGTTCTTGATTAGCAACTCAGCATGTTCGACTAAGCTTTAAACATGGTAAAAGTTTCTTCTTAAGGAGATCATCCGATAATTAATAATTATAATTTACATTTTCAGATTTTGAGCATCGAGGACAAGATTTTTTTTAAAGGGGATCGAATGTACTGACTGGAATCATATTAAAATATATTGTGAAAGAAATCAAGTTTGGAAAATCTTTATGGTGGTCATGGATAGGTGGCATATATTTAGTTAGGCTTTATTAGATTCATTATATTCAATTAGCTATTATTAGGATAGTCAAAATTAGGTCTATTATAGTTTCCAAACATGTTTAAAATATAAGTAGGAATAAGTTACTTATTTTAAACGTAACTCTTAGCTCAACTTATTTCTAATTTTGATCAATAAAATTTATTTATTTTAGAACTCACTTATTTACTAGTGCAAGTATAATTTAAGATTACCCAAACATTTATGGTGAGGCATATATGCGTGAACACAGATATCTGCAGCATTTTTTTGACGTCACCATATTTCTTGGCTGATGTTTCATATTTGATTTGTCGTAAAAATTTATCCTATTCTTTCTCTATGTTAACAACCAGAAACATGGAAATACCGACATAGAAGGTGTTGACTCAACAAACGCATGCTACGGGGGAACCGCAGCATTATTCAACTGTGTCAACTGGGTAGAAAGTAATTCGTGGGATGGACGCTATGGACTAGTTGTCTGCACAGATAGTGCGGTATGACCATCATCATCATCATCATCATCATCATCATCATAATTCAATTACTTGGCAAACTAGAGGCAAACAATCTTTTCTCTCTTTGGAAAAGCTTGAATTGTGTTTTACATAACCCGTGCTGAAATTTATTGTTTTAAATTATTGATTGAGGTTCCTTTTGTAGTCCACTTCTTCTCTGCTGGGTGGATTATTTTTATTTTTATTTTTTGCCTTGTAGAATATACTAGTAAATTTAGATCGACTATTTTCATGTTTGCAACGGTGAATTGGAGAATACTAGACAATATTAACAAAAAAAGAAGCTAAAATATTTTTCATTATACTGCACTATCATGTCTAGTGTTGCATAGCAAATATGGCCTATGTGTCAATTGTGTTTATGTTTGATTCCCTTACCGGCAAGATTCTTTTAACAGGTCTACGCAGAAGGACCTGCTAGGCCTACTGGAGGAGCTGCTGCTATTGCCATGCTAATAGGGCCTAATGCTCCTATTGTATTTGAAAGCAAGCTCAGAGCAAGTCATATGGCTCATGTCTATGATTTCTACAAGCCGAATCTTGCCAGTGAATATCCAGTAATCCTTCGTTTAACCCCCTTCTACTTTCATCTATTATCATGCTTCACACGTGAATAACTTGTGATTGGTCTTTAGGATGTTTTATGCTACTGTGAATTTTCTTTGTTGTATTCCAATTCTTTTTGGGTCTCATACAATTGGAACTGTTTTTGTAGGTTGTTGATGGCAAGCTTTCTCAGACTTGTTATCTCTTGGCTCTAGATTCTTGTTACAAAAGCTTCTGTACCAAGTAAACTCCTGCTGAAACACTGTTTTGTCTCTCTATATTTAATCCTTCAGGTCGTTGCTGTTTCCAGGTTTCTAAACATTTCGTATGTAATAGGTATGAAAAATTGGAGGGCAACCAGTTTTCAGTATCTGATGCTGACTACTTTGTATTTCATTCTCCTTATAACAAGGTAATTAGTGGGGCACATTATGATGTCAGATGAAGTCATTTTGTAGCTCTGCTTAAAATAATTGATCGATTGAAATTAATTTATGCTAACATCTTACTTCGAATACAGCTTGTACAAAAGAGCTTTGCCCGTCTGTTGTTCAATGATTTTTTGAGAAACGCCAGGTAGATATTCACTTTATCTTAGAGATGCCCTAGTACTTTTTTAGGTATGTTTTGACATTAAGGATTGGATAGCACTCGACAATATTAAGTGCATGCTTGGGAAACATTATAATGTCCTTATAATTTAATTGTCAAAGTCAAACATTAATTTTAACATGGGACCAACAAGCTACTACTACCCACTTATCCACCACTCATTTCTATCACATTATAATTTCTGCAACTTTAACTGTATCCAAACAAGCATTGAAGAAGTAAAAAATCTCTAAATCCTGTTTTTTACATTGTCCAGTCACGTCCTTGCATACCAAACATGCACTTAATAGGGTTCCGTGAGTAATCGTTTCTTCTTTTATATTTTCGTAGCTCCATTGATGCGGCTGCTAAAGAAAAGCTGGCCCCATTCTCATCTTTAACTGTCAATGAAAGCTACCAAAGTCGTGATCTTGAGAAGGTATTAATCCGTTAAAATGAGCTTCTCTTGCATTATCATCCTATTTTTGATATTCGCTCAGTCAGTAACTAGAGTTAGACATTTGATTTTGAGAATTATTTATGCCACAGTACGGACACCTTTGAGCTGATTTTAATGGATCTACAGGCATCCCAGCAAGTCGCGAAGGCATTTTATGATACAAAGGTGCAGCCATCGACTCTAATTCCAAAGCAAGTTGGGAACATGTACACAGCATCAATGTATGCTGCATTTGCATCCCTTCTCCACAATAAAAATAGCACACTGGTAAAGCTCATTACTTTTTCTTTTTTGAATGTTCGGCTTATTCAACATAAATGTTGCTAATTTTTTAATATAATTTCTTTCTTCAGGCTGGACAGAGGGTGATATTATTCTCCTATGGCAGTGGTTTGTCTGCAACAATATTTTCACTTCGTCTTAACGAGGGTCAACATCCTTTCAGCTTGTCAAACATTAAAACCGTCATGAATGTTTCAGAGAAGTTGAAGTCAAGAAATGAGGTATTCCACTGTTTGTTCAATTAACTTCACCTGATAGTTGGATTCTACTGTCACAAAACTATGAATTAAATTACTCGTGACTGGATTTGAGGAGCATGTTTGGCTCAGCTTAAAAAGCTACATTAAGTAAATTTACTCGAAGTTCTAAAACAAGTAATTTTTTATTGGTCAAAGTTGGAAATATGCAACTCATTTTGCCAATGGGTAAGAGTTACTTTTTCTAAAATTTAACTTTTTTTTTACTCAAGTAAGAAAAAAGTTGTCCAAACATGCTAATTCTTTCTATTCGTGGTAGACAGACTCATGGTAAATGATCTTTTCTGCAGTTCCCTCCAGAAAAATTTGTCGAAACAATGAAGTTGATGGAGCATAGGTACGGGGCAAAGGACTTTGTCACGAGCAAGGACTGTAGCCTTCTAGCTCCCGGCACGTACTATCTGACAGAAGTCGACTCAATGTATCGAAGATTCTATGCCAAGAAAGGTTATGAGAATGGCTCAATCGCCAACTCTCACTAAATATAGTCTGATTATAATGGGAGGATGCCATGAAATCGGCTTGAGCTTAGCTGTTGTTAGCACATAGAAGAATAACGATGTTTCGATATTTGTTTAATATTTATATCTAGTTTCTTTGGCAGATAATTTTACTTTAATTTAAATAAACGTTATTTTATTTTTCTCTCTTAAAAATTAGAATTTGAGATATCATGGTTGTATTCCATTATCCTAATGAAATTGATTTGAGGAACCTTGGAAGTTGTCATGCATTTCCTGTCATCACATAGCTATCAGAACTTCTTCTCACACTCGATTCCATTTAAGCGAAGTGCTGGATAAATAGACGCATCACAGGTGCATCCGTAGTGACTAAGGTGTACTCTAGTTATGTGTCATCTGGTCTCCATTGGATCTATTATGAGAGTACCTTAAGCCCTTATTTGACAATCATTATTTTTAAACGCTTTTTTTCTACATACTCATTTTCAATCACATATTTACATAATAAAATATTCTACACGTAAAATCAAAATTTTTTCCCTATTTTTTAACCACTCTTAAAAATCTATTTTAAACTCTGTTTTCCTCAAAAAATGGTTGTCAAACAAGGGCTAAAACAATAGTTCCAGTTGCTAAGATGATCTATTTCCTTTTTGTTGGTTTCTTTGAGTAGAACAAGTTTGCTTTTAGTCCGATATAGCAAGTTTGTAGTTACTATAGTGACATTAATAGAGTGAGAACTATTGACTATAGTGTTCAATTAGCGTGTGTAGGCTTTTGTTTACGTCAATTCGAGCTCGTTCGATCAAGTTTTCAATTGCATGGAAACTTTTCCTGATCAAACAATAGATGATGGTGAGGGGGTCTACTAGATGTGGTTAAACTAGCAAATACTCTTGGAATAGCTGGAGTAAGAAGTCTTCAACTGAGCATATTATGGAAGACTGTCAATCACATCCGCCAAGGATCAAGAGGGATCTCGTTGTTGCATAGCTCGGGTCAAAGCAAGGTGCCATCAGACATTCAACAGGCAGTCTCATGATCAATTTCTCTTCGGTCCCCTTCAAAAGCCCTAAAACGCCTAAATCTGGCTCTGCAACAGGGAACCTAGACAGAAGAAGGGAATTGTTGCCTTCAAGCTGACGTCCAAATATCTTATTCATAGTCCAACGAGTTGAATGAGAAAGGGACAGTTTCATAGCTCTAGCTTGCTGTGTCAACTGGCCCTTCGTCATCCTTCTTGTGGCTGTTAGGTACTTAAAACTAAACAAAATCAATTACAGTTAAAATGTTTCTGAAAAGTAAATTTAATTTGTTTCACGAGATAATGATGCATGAAAATGGTTGCATAGTTTCTCATTGAAACATGATAAAAATATTTAATTGCAGTGTATAACACATCGGTTATATCATCAAAACTACAAAATATGGTTCCTTCAAAACTTCATGAAATTACAAAGAAAAATTAATGGTGCATATCCATCGCTATATCTGTGTCAGAGGAGATAGTACAGCTACTCTTCACTTATAGGGGTCTTCCATAGAAAGGGAAGAGCAAGGCCACTCCATCAAGAGTGAAAGAATCCATCCTTTCACATCATGTCATACTCATTGGCCGACGATGATCTCAAATTGTGAGATTTTCTTGAACGACAGTAAAAGTTCCAACTATTTTTCCACCCATGTCTGGAAAGGTTTCACATCCAGGAAGAGGCTTCACTTTACCCATACGATCAACTTCAACTGGATATTTGAGTAGGTGACCTTTCATTTCACTTATTTCATCAGCTGCAAATTGTTTCCAGTGCTGCTCTCCCATTGATCTTATACGTCTCACGCATTCGAGACTCTCTGGTTGCTCGAAACACGCATCGAGAGTTCCCGTGTGCTCTGCCCAGAGCGACATCCGATATCCATAGATCTGCATGTTGGAATTATGCCATATATCCAATCATGTCCAATTAAGATAAATTTGTCCAAAATGAATTGAAACAACAGAATATAAGATTTCTAAAATTAATCAGGTAATACAAGAGTGATAATATATAAACAAATTCAGGAAACGAGAGAGATTTTAATTTTTACATCAACTAAAATTGAAGCAGCTCATTTAAAAGTTTAAATTGTTAGAGAGGAGAAAATTTATTTATTTAAATTTTGTCTTCAACACACTCCATCATTCCATCGTAAATCGGATTTATGTTTTCATTCAAGGCCTAATATGTGCAAAACTTTTTATACATGGGTGGTGGTGATGCTTGAACTGAAGACCGTGTATAGCGACCAAGAAATTTTAAAGAATATAAATTTTTTTTTTTGAAAAATGTGTCACTAAGTTTTAACCCAAATTTTAAATTGAAAGGGTGTTCGTCTAGCCGTTGTAAAATCAATTTAAATCCATTCAAATCAAGTTCAATCCCGAATATTTTTAAAGTATCGAATTTCTTATCATTTTAAATCCAAATTTAATAATTATAAGTACAATGTTTTATTTAGGGTCCAAAATTTTAATAGTCCGAATCTGGACTATTTAGCCCAATTCAGTTAAGTCCAATTAGGAAAAATTCTTACAACCCAAATTCTTGGCCCATTTAACTCCTAGAATTTTGTGCCCTAAAATTCTACTATTCATATAACTCCCCTCCCCTCCCCTCCCCTCTCCTCTATTCATGCAGTCAAGAAATCTGGTAAGAAAAATTTCATCTCCCCAATTCAGCTACTGGGAAACTCACGTTGAGGCTAAAATCAATTTTTAACACCAACAACCATCTCTCAAAATTTGGAAACCCTCGATGATGCTAGAACATCAATTCCTAGCATCAACCTGTTGATTCCACAAATTCGGACCCTTCAACCCAACCTCAAACCCAACTGCAAACACACATAGGCTGCAACATTCGAACAAGCTGCAGCCACCCCTCCCACGGTCGAACCACCACACCAACTCCACCATCACAAAGCACCTCCACCGTAGTTGTCGCCTACAACCCAATCGACATCCATTTTCACCCCCAAAATCGACACCAAATCAACCACAAAACCAAGAAAAAAGCATAACCCATTAACTTACCTCACTCCCCAACCCATTTCCAGCTTGATCGCCACCAAAAAAAAAAAAAAAAGAGAAAAACCTAAGAGTTCGAACCTCCAAGCCTTGTTTTCTTTCGGAAAGTACACCAAACAATCCTCCCAGCTCGCCTCCACCCACACCCTGATGCCACCACACGACGGTGGCGCTGAGGCCGCTTCGCCGACGGTCGAACCGGAGGAAGGGGCAGAGCCACTTCCCCCGTTGTTGCTCTATCTCTCTCTGCTCGTGTTAATCGATTTGAGAGAGAGAAGAGGGTGATAAATATATAATTTATTTTATAATTTGATTTTTAGAAATTCACCCCTTAAGCCCCTGAACTTTATTTTTATTATTTTAAGTTATTTATTTCAACCCCAAAGTTTCTGTGATTAGTAAATCGGTCCCTGGAGTTCTTGTTTCCCACAGTTAGCCTACTAATTTCGAAAAGTCTATTTTCAATCCTTAAACTTTTCAATTTCAATTTCAATAAATTTCCAATTAAGTCCTTAAACTTTATTTTATCATTTTAAAACTATAAATTTTCGGAATACTAATTCAAAACTTTTTTCTATTTTGACTAGACGATACATACGGATGATTATGAGATTTAGGTTACTTCCCGCTCCATTTTTCACGTGACTCGGGATAAATTGAGGTAGATTCGCCACCATTAATTAGTTTAAATTATAATTGCATGTATTATGTGAACCTACGTGATTTATATGCTTTAATACATAAGATGAGAATATTTCTTATGAGATATATGATGTTATTATGTTTGTCATAACTTATATGCTTTGATGCATGAGAAGAGACGAGTATCTCTTATGAGATAAGATGAAAATGTTATGCATGACTTATGTGCTTAAATGCATGAGACGAGACTACTCACACCCTACCATTTTAAAGAGCCTCTGATTTTTAAAGAAAATAAGCATATGATGATGATGATGATGTCACGGTATAAATTACATGATTACGTGTTTAATTATTCTGTAAATAAATTATTGGTGATGAGTCTACTGAGTATTTCTTCGAAATACTCATACCGTTATTTTAACATTTGTAGATTTTGGAGACGGTCGGGTTTGATGGGCAGTTGTGGCAACGATTTAATGGATGAAATTATTTAATTTCTAATTTACGTATTTGAACATTATTAACGTACTTTGTCATTTCAGTTATTTCAAAAACTTGAGATTTAAAGTTTAATCAATTTTCTTAAATTAATCGAATGATTTTTGTCGCCGACGAGGTTTTACAATTATAAATGTGATGTTTAAAATTTAGTTATTTCTGCAAATCTTTTTAGTTAATTCAAGACAAATGAGGATGATGTGACGGAACTCGGGGAGTTACACCGTGCATGTTCTTATTTCATGTTGAACTACCCTATCTAAAAACTAATTTATTAGAGAAGAAGACAAGCTATTTACTTAAATTATGTACTCAACAACTTACCTATCATACTTTTTTATTTAGAAACATTTAAAGAGGCGCTTAAAAATTATGTCATAACCCCTTCAATAGGGGAATTCCAATAATATCACCTTGAGAACATCAAAGTGGCCTTACTTCGAATGAAGGAAGCCATATCAGTACCAAAAAAGTGTATGTTAATACGGATAGATGTGACCATGATCCTAGGATTTTTGATCGTTTGTTTTCTTCCTTGCGATTCAAGAGAGAAAATTATATGCAATTTTAATTATTTTCCCCCTCTATTTCTAGATCAATTTGACATGCATTTTTAATTGTGATTCATGGGCAAAGATCAATCTACTTTTCTTTATTCAAATTTGAAACCCGCTCAATAAAATTTATGGCCTAATCACAAAGCAATGCAAAATGCCATAGCTGATACGATCAAACATACCTGACCATGTGGATTCATATGCTTACTCATCCATGAATAGTGAGGTTGATATGCACCCATTGCAATTTCAGTGTCTCTCGTTCCTTCCAGAGAACGTTGATTAATGTTTGCCGATCCCATTAGGACGTACTCATCATCTACTATCATTCCTTTCGAATGGACATAAATCATGAATCGTTGGTTTTTTCGAGTTAGTGCCTATGTAATGAAACATGTTAACAGAAGGTTTTTCTATGAGACATATAAAATGAAACTTCAGAAGTAGTCGAGAGAGTTGTACTTGTGGTGCGTTTCCTCCAGAACTTTCAACATCTGAGCTTCCAATGTCTTGAGCCTCGCGATTCCCAAGGCAAAAGAAATTCAAATAATCTTGAGGTTCAAACTCATTCTCAAGCCCTACATCTACTAAAGCCTTGTATATGGTTTCATACATCATTTGCATTGTATTATGCTGTGGACATGAAAATATTTCACTTAAGTTAACGCCAACAGAAATACATAAAAGAAAAACTACCATTCAGTTAAAAATACCAAGGAAAATGAAGGCAGGAATTTGATCATTTCAGTTCCATGATGAGAAAAAGCCATTTGAGAAGCATGTTCCTCAAAATTAAAAAGAAAAGAAAAAGAAGAAACAACAACAAAAGTAGAGCACAATTGTTCTTTATTCCAAAGAATTTCATATTGTAGCATGACATATAAATACTTGGCATATGAGCGATAAAATAGCAGATTTCTGCAATGGACATCCTGGAAACGGGTGGAGACATGAAAAGGCACTTCAGTTTGACAAGTGTAAACTTTGAAAATCAAATTTTAGGAAATATTCCACAGACGTTAATACATAAAATTGTTCAACATATTCTATTAAGTCAAACAAATTATTTTTTGCTCTCTTCTTGTCCGCTGATAACAAAAATGAATTTCTAACCGTTTCCAAGATTAGGAATAGGTTCATTGAAATAAAATTCAAAAGGCAGATTTATGCACAAGTTTGTAACTGTATTTCCACACACACTTGTGATCTTGATGTAAAAGTAGGAGTGCCATACAAAAGTTTGAATCAGGTCCTCATTCCATGATATGACAATTTAGTTCAACAAACGACTTATCAAAAAAATAAAACAAAATAAAAAATTCTTCAGCTGAACTTGAACTGAACCTTCGTAAGAGGCTAATATAAATGGTCATCATTTCATGAAAAAGAATAGGTTAGCAAATTCTATTACTTTCAGCGGTAGTTAGAATCTACCTGCCAAAAGAGAATCCTTTGAGTGGGAGTACTGGTAGGAACACCCTCTGGCCACATTGGGACAACAATGTATACTGAAAACCTCTCCTTTGCTCTAATTTTATTCACAATTTTTAGAGCAATTTCCATTGGTATTAAATTGTTTGCACCTGCAATTAATAAGAAGTTCACGCAACCTTCGTCTTGTGTTCTTGATCTATGAGTAAACAAGAGAAAACGAAGCCCAACCTTTGCAACAGCTATTTAGTGATTCTTTGGTTCTAAGTTGATAAATATACATATTTTGCTAAGGAAATAATTATATTCAATCCCTTCCAATTTATTACAAAAGATTAGAGTTCCTCACCCAAGTCTTTGTAATTATTCCAATTGTATGATGACCCAAGGAAGTACTGGTTTTCGATGTAAATGAAATGCTGGGCTGCACGAATTGCCTTTACATATGCTGAATGTATGCTCATGTCTATTAGTACATTCTTCCCACATACCAGGTTCTATTGAAATGTAGACGAGATATTAGCTCAGATAATCGAGACTATAGCATGTTTGGCTAAGCTTAAAATTTTAACTAAGTTCAAAATAAAAAATAAAAAAATTAACGATCAAAACTGGAAAATAGATTACTTGTATGAAAGTGAGTTACTGATAGAATAACTTATTTCTCTTAAAATTAAGAAAAGGTAACTTATCCAAACTTGCATAGAAACAAAAGTAACTTTAGTTTGTTTTAAGCTCAACCAAACATGCTCTATCCTGAGGGATAATAAAAGGTTACGGTCAAACGTTACTTCACCCTGTTTGTAGCTTCTTTTGGATCTTTGGGGAAACCTTTAACAGAGTTCGAGTCTATTGAGCGAAAAACCTATCAAATTTAACAAAATTAGTTCAAAAAATTGGACTAAAAAGAAAATGAAAGTACAATCCATCATACCTGGACATGCCAGACTTCTTGATCATCTTCTTGTAGGCAGGCAGTCTCCTCTATTCCTAATATGTCGGGAATCCTTTCAAGCTTAAGCAAAGCATCATCATGGGAAGCTTTCATCTTCTGAATCCCATGACGTTTTGAAGCCTTTAACCAACGCTCCTCAAAATTTGTTAGGACATCATATGCAGCTGGACCATCGATATTACAGTGTAAATCATGCCATGGTTCTCTTGGACAACCAACTGCAGGACCCTGTTTACTTAAAACGTGATAGGCATAAGAGGAAAGACAGTGAAAAGTAAAATGATGAAAATATTAGCTTACTTTTATGTATTAGCTCATTAGGCTAGCTCCATTAACCAAACTGGTGTACATGTTTGGAAAAATTATAACTAGAAGGGAAATGCAGAAAAATATAAAGATGTAATACGAAAAAATACCGTAAAATTGGGATTATGATAATCCTCTTTGTGAACAGTTTCTAGCGTACAGAAAATTGGGTGCTGCGGAGTATCAAAGCGCCCCTTGCACAAGTCAAGGCCTCCAACAAATGCAATGATCTTTCTCCTGAAGTTACCTGCATCAGCATCTACTATGACACTTTTCTGATGATGGGTATAGATTGTTCCAGTTTCCTGACAGGAAAAAATAAATAAAATTCCTTAAGGGGCTTATTATATTCAGTAACATAAAACACCAAGAAGAGAACGATAGGATGCATAACTCAAGAAAACAGAATATCATCCAAAGAATTCTTAGCACTTTCAAGCAAATAATTGCATTTGCCTTGAATTCGGCAAAATACAACCTCCAGAAGAGAGCAGATCTAACCTCACGCTTCCATAGGAGAAGGTTGACATTCAGCATAAGGTCACAGATACATGTGCTACAGCTCCGCCATTACATAGAACAGATACTTGCAATATTCATGCATTTTGATACCCCAGTAATGTGATTTAAGGACCCAACCTCAAGCCTAGTCAAAGGAAGGGCTGCCTTTCAGAGTGATTTCTAATCTCAAATAATCACTCAACTGACCAATTGTAACTTGTATTCCCAAATAAACATGCACATTCACACCCACCCACCCACCCACCCCCACACACATATATAAATATTCAGAAACACTCTTCTAGCTGCCATTTTATTTACTGGGATTTGAACATTAAGGAAATGTCAACGAATTGAGAGATTAAGGGCATTTTTCAGAAAATAAATTATTAGAATCATGTCTTGTATTTGCAAAGAGAATATAAAAGAACAGCCAACCTGCTGTTTTGCCCAGCTGCCTTTCTGAGCAGATCGTGGACATAGCAGCACTTGCACCGATGAATGCTTAAAAAAGAGTCTAGTTTCTTCATCGCCTGTGCCCATTACCCCATCCTGAATGTCATAGAATATGATAAAGTCAGAACAAGAATAAATTAAGATGATATAGCTGCTGAACAAAAATGCTATAGTAATTGAACAAATATGTTATAAATCTATCACCCTCTCCAGGTGCCAATCAGTCTGCCTTCAGATTGCACTAAAGATTGAATAAGCAACATTTTTTTTAAAAAAACCTATTTTTGCACGACACTCAATTTCATTAAGTTCTTAAGTTGTCTTATATGCATCAATATAGCAAAACCACTTTGTTGTTAATATAGCCTATGTTTGGCTCATATTTATAAATTGTTTATAAACACTCAAACCATTTTTTTTCCACACATTTTGAGGGACCCTCTACCCACTTATCCACCACTCTTTTTTCTTTATTTATAATTTAAACTGTTTCATAAACACTTCCCAAACATTCTCTTAGATATATATGTATCACAAATACCCTTCAACACAGATAGCCTGCAGATGATTACCGGAAAGCAAATCTTAATTATGCTGCATGTTTATAGGATTAAGCTCAAAGATAACCAAATCTATATAGAAATGCAAATGAAAATTGAGTAATTCCTTATTTGATCAAACCTGAACGCTCATTTTAAGTCCAAGTTGCATTTAAAACGATATCACTGCACTTGAGTTCTATGGCTAAAGGTTTTATGCATAGATCATTCGGAAAAGGGAAACCCCATCTTCTCTATTTATGAGAAGTAATCTAGAACTATAACATGTCATTAATTCAATCAATTTAACAGAAAGAAAACTATAACAGTTGCTTCTTACCGATTTATACCCTAAAATACTCCTAGAAGTAGGATCATCCCATACAAGGAGCAAGACCCTCACACCTTCTTGAGACTTGACTTTCAGGATCTCTCCCAAAGTGCTATGAGTTGCATTTGGATCATCCCTAACTAGTTGAACTAGGTGGTAAACAGACCAACCTGTAATGTAAACCAAATGACGAGCCTGACTAATTGCATCGTAAATATCACGCCAGCAATGTCCATGCTGATACAATGTGTCATTCGCCAGCAACAACTTTGGAAGGGAATCATCATGCACATGTGCATCTTGATAAAGTTTTACCTTTCCTCCTCTCCTAAGAGGAAAATATGTACCAGGCACGCCCTGATACCCAAGATCTGATCCTACCCCACCATGATAGAGGGGTACTTTCTCCATTGGAGTATACTGAATGGACAGGCTCAAAACAGCCCCTGCTTTACATGGCTTCCCACTTCCATTAAGTACCGGAAAAGTACTCTCAACTCTATCACCTGAGATTATCTGCTCCACAGGGATTCCAACAGCCCCCATAATCTGTGAGCCCACAACATCGTTGTCTTTAACCACAAAGTGCACTTCTGCAGCATAATGTGCAACCGGAACATAAAAATGCTGCATCCAAACAGGATTTTCAGTGTTACTAATCACAAAAGTCCTACCAATTACAGCACCAGCTACTGAAATTGTGACATAAGGATCACTTGTATTCTTAGATGGGTTCCCTTCTGTTTTACTGCTAAAGCTTGCAGGAAATCCTCCAAATATGTCACCTAGATTCTTGTGGAATAAATCCATATTTGGCAGGTTTTTGGCTTCTTTCACCCATACATTCAAATTCCCATGCAACAACAACACCCTCAGTGAACCTGTAGAGGTCTTAAATGGCACAAATTGCACACCTTGACCATGCTGTGAGCTTTCAGACATTGATTCAGAATAAGCCAAATGAGCCATATTAGCAATCTCGTCACTCATAAACAATTTAATTCCTAAAAGAATACACTTTAATTCCACACTAAATAAAGTGAAAAGTCAAAGGGAATCCAACCAGGAAGTAGAACAAACTTAGAGATCCAAACTCTTTAAACACTCGTGTCTGGGCTGGGTTTGAAATGCTGGAAAAATGAACAATTCACAGCGTCTTACTTGGTGATCACAAGATGAACAAATGACAAAACAGTAAGGCAAGAATTAGGTCAAGCCAAAAAATGACCCAAAAGACGGGAGAAAAAAGTTTGATTTGTTTTTCTTCTTTCAGCAAATTGACTCATTTTTGTTATGTAAAGGGCCTATTAGAGTATTAGATAGTAGATATTTTTATCTAGATATTTTTATCTCACAGCTAGGTGCAAGCTGTCCCTTTTTCCGGCTTTTTACGTTTCTAGTTTTTCTGTTATTTATACACTTGGGGCTGTTTTGTAAGATAAGGAGATTAACAAACTCAGCCCCGTTTGGCATCCATTTTTTCCTCATTTTCATTCTTTTTCTCTTTCTTCATTTCAACTACACATTCTATCAATAAAATAATATTACACATAAACTTAAAAATTCTCATTACTTTTTAACCACACATTCTTTCATCAATCACTATTCAAAAATACATTTTTCTACTAAAATGGGTGTCAAACACCCCATCAATATCAAATTTTACATTTTCCCGCCTTCTCTCTCTCTCTCTAAATTCAACATGGTATCAGAGTTAGGCCCAATTATGCAATGTTGGGTGCCACCCAATATCGATTTGTTCACAGTTGTTTGACATGGTACATGCTGTGCGTGAGGGAGCGTATTAGAATCTCACATTGATTGGGAAAATATAAATGATCCACATAATAAGATGAGGGAAATCCTCCCCTAATAAGCCGGTTTTATTAGGTGGAGTTAGACTCAATATTCCTAACATGGTATCAGAGTAATTTTTTTTTTTGATTTCCTAATTTTCAGAGATTGAATCCACTGATTCATCGATCTATCATAGATCTACTTTTGATTCATCGATTGGTTTTTTTTTCTGATTGTGCGAACTTCTTTAATCTCGATTTTCAATTCTGAGTCTTCATGGTGACAAATGATTCAGTGTTGCCGGATAATTCAGCTTCTTCAGGAAGCAATAACATCATCGATGATGGATTAAGTCCATATTACCTCCACCATTCAGACAGTCCAGGTTTAACCCTTGTTTCACAAGCCACTGATCGACGAAAACTATGCATCCTGGAGTAGAAGCATGGTGATATCTTTGTCTGTGAAGAACAAATTAGGGTTCATTGATGGATCTATTCCAACACCTGAAGGTAATAAAAATCTCATCCATGCTTGGACTAGAAACAACAACATTGTCATCTCCTGGATACTTAATTCTGTTTCTAAGGAAATATCAGCAAGTATTATCTATTTGGGATCTGCTTTTGAAATTTGGAACGATCTGAAAGAGAGGTTTCAGCAGAAGAATGGGCCAAGAATCTTCCAACTGAGGCGTGATCTGATGAATCATACCCAAGCTTAACTCAATATAAGTTCATACTTCACAAAATTGAAGACAATCTGGGAAGAATTAAGTAATTACAGACCAAATTGCTCGTGTGGAAAATGCACATGTGGAGGAACTAAGGGGGTGTTCTCTTTGGCGTTTTCCACCCGTTTTCTGTTTTCGATTTTTCAAAACGTTGAAAACGCGTTCTCTTACACGTTTTCGAAAACAAATTTTGGAAAACAAGGAAAAAATTTCTGAAGAAAACACAAAACAACCGTTTTGGGCATTTTCTTCACAAACAGCCCACCAAATGGAAAACACGGAAACAACCCAAAACGCTTCCTCCTCTCCACTGCCAATCCACTGCAAACAGCCCAAAACACTTGCTCCATTCTACTGCCAAGCCCACTCCACCGCCACTTTCCAACCCCCAAACTCCGGCCAACCTCATCCAAAACGGCCGGATTAATATCCTATTGTGAAGCCCTAAATCCCCTCTTGAAATACCACACAAACAACAATTCAATTCTATACCAAAATCGATCAAAAATATCCTAAAAATCTGAATCGGTACACACAGCTTCTGTCGGTTCTGAAGAAAATTGAAGGTGACCCATGGTAGTATTGGATGCGCCTTGTTGAGAGGCGTGGATTGGTGGTGGTCCACGATCGGAAAGGTGGCCGGTGGCCGTGTTTATGGGTCGAAACAGTGAGCGGTGCCGAGGCTTTTCTTGCTGATTCCGGATGATTTTCCGTCAATTAATCTGTGTTCGTTGTAGAGGGAGGTCAGGGGGTTCGAATGATGCCGGGATCTAGTGGCTAGGTGGTGGGTGGTGGTCGGTTTGTGGGGGTAGAAACTGTGGCTCTGGAGGGGGAGTTTTCCTGTTGCTGGAAAATGGGAAAATTGAAAACAATGTGAACAAGTTTTGGACGAAAGTTTTGAGAAATATTTTAAAAAATGACAAAAAGAACGCGTTTTCAATAATCTCAAAATGGAATTTTTGAAAATAATTTAAAAATTTACAAAGAGAAGTCAAAATGATTATCGTTTTGGGTGTTTTCAGTTATAATCAAACCCAATTTTTCAAAATGTCAAAAAGAACACATTTTCAATAATCTCAAAATGGACACTCAAAACACAAAATACAAAATGATTTCAAAACTTAAAACACAAAGAGAACAACACCTAAGGCTTTAGAAGAGCATTATCAGACTAAGTATGTAATGTCTTTTCTGATGGGGCTTCATGACTCTTTTGCTCACACTAAAAACCAGATACTGCTAATGGATCCAATACCGCCTATCAATAAGGTGTTTGCTCTAGTATCCCAAGAGGAACATCAGAGGAGCATGATTACATGACCATCAGAAGCTTCACACATTCCAATGGCTTTCTCTGTAAAAAATGAGAGCAATCGATTCAATACTAGCCAACACTTTAGAAGGACTCAGAGAAAGGATCGCCCTGTCTGCAAATATTGTGGAATAACTAGTCACACAATTGATAAATGTTACAAACTTCATGGTTACCCTCCTAGATATAAACTAAGGTAGAAGGCTAGTTCCTTAAATCCAATTGTTGCTGCTACAACCAATCAGATCTAAGATCATCAAGGCAATGTTGATGGTTTTTTGCAAACTTTGAATTCAAATCAGTATCAAAACTTGTTGGCCATGCTGAACTCTCATTTAACAGCTGCTAAAACTGACACATGAGGTGATGTGAACTTGATCAACACATCAGGTATCTGTTCTTCTGTTCTTAGTCACCCTATCATTCACTCCTCTCGCCATTGGATAATTGATTCGGGTGCTACAAACCGCGTTTGTTTTGTTCATTCTTTATTTCACAAATTAGTTCCTATCTCAAACTCTTTCGTCACTCTTCCTAACAACTCTCATATACAGGTTAACTTCTCTGGATCTGTTATCATCAGCCCTTCATTGACATTACATGATGTTCTCTTTGTTCCACAATTTCACTTTAACCTGTTATCTGTTACATCTTTAACACACCATTCCCCTTTTCAAGTCACATTTCTTATAGATTGTTGCATCATTCAGGAAACTCCAACTTTGAGGATGATTGGCAAGGGTAACAAAGTTGCTGATTTCTATGTCATTAATACTGCGCATGCCAGCCTTTCTAATCTTTGTAATTCTATTCTTCATACATATACTTGTAATTCTTCCATTTCCAATGTAAGCAAAGTTTCCTCGCATATTTGGCATAATAGACATGGCCATATCTCCTTTAAACGTTTAGAATTGTTAAAGGACAGATTGGCTATTGCCTGTAATAATCATAAGGACACTCATTGTTCAATTTGTCCTTTAGCCAAACAGAGGCGTCTTTCATTTGTATCAAATAACAATCTGTCCTTACATGCTTTTGATTTGGTACATTGTGACTTATAAGGGCCCTATCACGCCTCAACACATGCTGGCTATCGTTATTTCCTTACTATTGTTGATGATTGCACTAGATTTACCTGGTCATTTCTCATGAAACATAAATCTGATGCCACATCCATTATTCCCAAGTTCTTCTCCCTTATTGAGACACAGTTTCATAAAACCATTAAGCAATTTTGTTCAGATAATGCTCCTGAACTACGTTTCACAGAGTTTTTTAGTTCCAAAGGCATCCTCCATCAGTTTTCTTGTGTTGAGCGACCTGAACAAAATTCTATTGTGGAAAGAAAACACCAGCATCTCTTTAATGTTGTTCGAGCCCTTTTTTTCCAGTCCCGTGGTCCAATCAAATTCTGGGGCGAATGTGTCCTCACAGCCACTTACTTAATAAATCAAACTCCATCCCATTTGTTATATGGTGTCTCTCATTTTCAGCTTCTTCATCACTCCCAGTCAATTATAATATTCTCAAAGTTTTTGGATGTTTATGTTATGCATCCACTTTACCTTCTACTCGGACCAAGTTTCATCCTCGTGCTATTGCTTGTATTTTTGTGGGATATTTGCCAGGCATCAAGGGCTACAAGCTTTATGACATACAATCCAAAAAAAAATTTGTTTCTCGTGATGTGGTCTTTCATGAAACCTTGCTTCCGTTTCACTCCATTAACACATCCACTGATGTTATTGATCCATTCCCAGAATTATGCCTTCCATTACCAGTTTCTGATTTGCCTACTCCTTCTATATCTGTTCCCACTTCTGATATACGTCATCTGTCTTCTAATGTACCTGATGAAAACATTATCCATCATCCTATAACCAGAAGGTCTTCAAGAGTCATCAAACCACCTTCATATCTACATAATTGCCATTGCAACTTACTCCATCACACTTCACAGGATTCTTCTCAAATTCCCTATCCCTTACATAATCACATTTCCTATGCTTCCTTGTCACCCCCTCATCGTACTTATCTCCTTCAAATTTCTTCCAATTTTGAACCCCAATTCTATCATCAAGCTGTTAGATATTCACA